ATCCTCCTCCACCTCTGCCCAGCCCTCTCCTCAGGAGAAAGCCAAGTGTTGGAGGAGCCTTGCCCTGTCCTTATCCTCTTCCACCCACCCTTATTGTTGGGAGAAAGCCAAGCAGTGGAGGCATTTGCCCTTCCTCCTCTTCTGCATGGCCCTCTCCTCAGAAGGAGGCCACACAGTGGAGGAGCCTTGAAGTCATTCCACATCTCCATAGGCAACTCAAAATCCTTTGACAGGCCGCATGTGGCCCTCGGACCATCTTGTAGCACCTTTAAGTTTAACTGAAGGAAAGAAGTTTGCAACATGAGCTTTCCTAGACTACAGTCTACTTCCTCAGATGCATATAGCAGTGGAGTAGATAGGGGGTGCAGATTGCACCAGGTGACACCCTAATAGGAGGTGATACCACTGCTCCTCAAATATCTGGGTTTTGGCAGAAATGGGCTGTGGTGTTCCCTTATGTCAAATGCTGGAAAGATGGAGTGAGTAGGATGAGGCTCAGTGGGGGGAGAAAGGAGATGCCCCAGGTTATTGTTTTTTTAAATAAAATTTCAAATTAAAAAAAGATTTTAATTAAAATATATTTTAATTATTATTTTTTAATTTCCTTTAAAAACATTATATTTTACATCACTAGGAGGAGTGCAGATCGCACCAGGTGACATTCTAATAGGGGGTGACACCACTGCTCCTCAAATATCTGAGTTCATTAGTGTTCCATTAAAATGCTGAAGAGATGGCGTGAGTGGGGGGAGGCTCATTGGGGGAAGGGGAAAAGATAGCCCCCAGTTTTTTAAAAAAATAATATTTCAAATTTAAAAAAATAAAATTAAAAAATATACATATATTTTTTTTAAATTATTGTTTACATTTTCTTTAAAAACATTGCATTTTACCAATTTTTCACTTTAACTTACATAATTCCATGTGGTTAAAGTGAAAATTTGGTAAAATATAATGCTTTTAAGAAATTTTTAAAAAGTGTATATGTAAATACATTAAGGTGGCCACTGCTTAAGATGCTGACTCTGATGACTGAAAGATTGGCAGGTCAGCAGTTCGAAGCCCAAGCGCCATATGATGAGATAAACTCCTGTCATTAGTCTCAGCTTCTGTCAACCCAGCACTTTGAAAGCATGT